GTGTGTGTGTGTGTGTGTGTGTGTGTGTGTGTGTGTGTGTGTGTGTGGAAATGAATCAACACATTATGTAAGAGTGATTGCTGTCTTTAAAATATCATTAACTCTCTGTATATCCATCTGTCGTGCTTTTTGGCCGGATAGGGGAGGGAGGGGGGGGGACTGATTAGTGGTGATTTACAAACACTGCGTGCTCTGGTTACCTTTTTCCCAGGCTGGAACACAAGAAGAGACTGCTTACACGCTGCTTTTTTCACGCCCGCATTCAGTTTTTTTTTCTTGCAAGTATACACACACACACACAGGCGCACACACTCAAAGCCAGCCAGCACTCCGCCTTTTTTTTTTTTTTTTTTTTTTTTCTCCCACTCGGAAACACACACACACCCACCCAAATGAATGCATGCACACACCCAGGCCCTCCTTGCCTACTGAACTGCCTTTGCAGTGAGATCACCGCTTTAAGAACAGGGCAGTTGGGTTTAAGAGCTGGATCTTTACAAGTAGGAATCTCTTACAAACCCCCCTTTTATATTCCTTAGCACTCAAACAGGCTTTCAGCCAGATATTTTAAATGTAGATAAGTGCATACCTACCAAGCTTCTGAAAAACATTTTGACTACATTAACGTGTTGGTTTTTTTGCCACAAAGATTACATTTCTCAGTGCCCCTTCTCTACATTTCCGTAATAAATCACCCAAGATCTGTGTGGCTCTCCCCTGCAGCTCTACACAGGAGCCGACTTGTGAGGAACAGATCACAAATCAGTGGTCAGATCACAGTGTGTACTGTCCAAGGGGCGTCTAACCTGCAGTACAAGTTGGTGTGCTGGTCATACACACATGCCTCTATAAACTTTGGTTGTGTCGGTGCATTGATTCCTCCTGGAGTCCACATTTAATACTGAGTCGGGGAAGCCTGTATTGATAACTGATGCGATGGATGCCGCTGCTGATATCCTGCTCATCATTCAGCATTTCTGAACTGTTTCTCTTGGTTCCCTTCGTTCTGCTCTCAACACTCAAATGTGCCACTCGGGCTGAAAACACTGAGAGAACAAACACACTCGCCAAATTATAGTGATAAACAAAAAAAAAACACACATCTTGAGGAGAGATGTGTAATCATGACACTGAGGAGCCAGACAGTATGGAGTCGCTTGTCCAGTGCCAGTGTATTCTTAGCATCTAATGCTACAATAAGATGCCAAAAATACATCAGAATACAACATATTGTTTGCCTCAAAAGAAGGAGAGTTTATTTTGAATGTTGCTTCTGCTCCCGAAAAGCCATAATCGGCATCTAGTACAGTCTTGCAGCACAACAGGCTGGAATAACTGTAGGCATGTTGACACGTTATTTTTACCCTAAATGGAAGTACAAAAAAAAGAGATCGTTATGCCGCAAGTAATGTCAGAACCGTGTAAGAAACATGCTACGTGCTAAAGTGCAGCAATAAAAGATTCATCTGCACTGTGATGCCCATTTTTTACCCTTGTAGGCTCTGCTGGCGGCTCCTACGATGTAGCCTTTTAAGTCCAGTTGAGAGAACAGTCTTTTTGTTATTTCTGAGGCTGAAACTAAACGTTCACAATCGCATTTACCTCAGCTTTCATTTCAACATGAAACATGTGTCAAACCAAACAGGCCTGTTGCATTGTAAATCTTATGTTGGCCAGACGCTCCGGTTCCATGGTTCCGTTGGCTTGTGAATCGCGAGGGAGCGGCGATGAGATGGTGATCACTTGCATGTGGAGTGAGAGGCCTTGCCAGAGAGAGTGGCAGGCATGAGATGAAGAAAATTGGCTTGCCCGCGCTCACACAGGCTCCTTTTGTTTGCACAGTTGGGTAGGTGGTAACAGGGATTGGGTGGTGTGTGTGTGTGCACATGCAGGTGATGGGAAGAGATGAAGAGCTCTGTTTGTCCGTCTCAAGTATCCGTATGAATCAAACTTCAATGCCAAAGAATGCACCCTGGACGAGTTTCTTTACTCTGGTTGTTTTGTGTGCGTGAAGATGCTGGACAGTTTCGGGTGTGAATGTGTGAATGTGTGAGTGGCCTCTGGATATTGCGGGGTGTGTGGAAGAAGAAGATAATCAAAGGAAAGCTCAGCGTTGTTATACAAGCACCTGCTTTGTATCCTAACTATCTCATAACGTGGAGCTGCCTCCTCTACAGATAGGTCTTTACCACTCTGCTTTGTTATGAATACATTTCAATCTCTAGCCCATGCCGTATAGTTTAATTCCCTATTTGCATGAAGCTGTTGCAAGACTGTGGTGTCTGTATTTTAGACATCATTTTAACAAAGTCTGTTACTTGCTTCTCAGAAGGATACAGTGTAATAATTAGGTTTCTGTTTTTTAAACTAGTCTCCTCCATGGTAATGCTCTGCTGGGTTCTAATGTTTTTTCTTTTCTGTTTTTCTTCCTCAGATGAAGAGAAAGTTGGACCATGGCCCCGAGGTCCGATCTTTCCCTTCAGGAAAAAAGCCCTGCAAAGGCCCCGAGTACCCAAGGTAAAGCATCCTAGAGTTCACTCATAAGTCTCCCAGTTGCTCATCAGAGACACGCCCTCTCCCAGTTGTCCTTTCACTGCAGTGTCCTGCATTTATTCCCCACCTTTGGGTCGAGAGGATCTTAGTAGAAGTTACATATTAATGAGTGGCATCTCCTTGTTTTAGTGCTACTCGCGTATTAAATGAACCTGCCATGACATGAGATGATGAAAAGATATCAAGCGGCATGAACAAAGACGCTTTGTGTCTTCAAACAGAATGATGCTTCACATCATATTGTATCTCCAGCATCCAGCCAGCCGTCCCAGATGTTTCCCTCACCCTGAATATTTAATGCCCGTGTTCACATGTAGCCACATTAAAATTCAGACTGAACACAAGTCGCTTTAACTGTAAATGTTGCCATGTAGCTCGATCCGGCTCACTTTCCAAAAATTCATTAAAAATGTATCGATAATGAAATGGACCCCCAGCTTTCCATTTTGCTGCCAACAAGCTGAATCTGAGGAATTGAGGGAGCCCGCCGGATGCTTTGTCCCGCTGCCCTGACATTACAATGGCACATGGGCGTCCTTTGAAGTCATGTGATGCTTTTCACATCTTGGTTCTTCCAACAGGAGAAACTGGACTGTAACCGATTTCTGTGGGATTGTGCGCACTTTGAAGTCTCCGAGTTAAGAAAAACATTCGGTTTGAAACTAGAAAAACGTGTGATAAGGAATTAAAGATATCCTCTTTGTTCTGAAGCTGCAATGTTTCGGTGAAGCCTGGAGATTTATTTACATTTGTAATTTTTGATTTCCTGCTGCTAGAACTGTACAACAAAAACAGTTTTTTATTTACTCAGCCAGGAAGTAATTATATTCTGCAGGTCCACCAGCAACTGAAATATTGTTTTATCATTTAAAGAGATTTAACCCTTATTATAACACCATAAACTGTACATAATAAAAAAAGAAATGGGGGTCAATTAAGAAAATTAGCATAATGTAAAAACAAAACACAATTTCTTGTTATTTACTTGGCAGAATACACATGCATTCAGCTGAGGTTTTTATTGCTAAGTCAAATCTGTGAGTGGCAAAATGCTTTCAGTTTTATGTGCCGCTTTACATATTTAACTCGGCATTTGCCATCTTTTGTGTTCTCTCTGTTGTCAAAATTTGCAGTGGAAATATCTGCAGAAGCTGCAGCAAAACAACTCGATGCTCTCATATTAAGCTTAATGTTCACATCAATAGCGTATCCTTAATGTCTATAATAATCCTGTAATGTTTCCATTTTTCCCTTACTGCTTCTTGTTGAAAGCAGGGATTTCTCGCCCTCTCTCTAATGTCTGCAGTAGGCGATTTGCCTGTGAAGATCTCATTTAATTATTCGTTTTTAAGTGTTTTTCCTTCCTTTGTAAATTGCAGCCTGACAGGAATTGTCCCATGTCCGGCCACACCCACCACATTTGGCCACATTAGAACAGCCAATTGTCAGGGGCAGCAGAGACGGCGCATCACCTCAATCCAGCCACCCACGGGTCTCCAAGAATGGCTCCGAACATTTCAGGTGAGCACGGTGGAGTTTTCTTCTTCTTCTTCTTCGTCTCTTTTCCTTTTCCTCCCACGGGCAACTCCGAAGCCCTCGAGCAAAAGCTCATCAAAAAGCAGATGTTATGCCCAATCATTGTTCACTTAGTCTCAGAGATAATTGCTGCCTTGTTGTCCAGCCCCAACACATTAGCTTAACCGCTGTTGCGTGGAATTGGAATTAGCCATACCTGTTCAGACTTAAAAGCAGAGTTATAACATCAATTGTTTCTACTGTCGACTTAAAGTCTCTACTAAAAGTACACATTTCGACTTCTGTGGTCCTCTGATGAAAGAAGTCACTGCAGTATGGATATTTCATCATGCATACTGCAACACGTGTCTTTCGGTTTAATTAAAGGCACCAAAATTGAAAACAGAATGCCTAGCCAAGGAATGAATAACCGAATAGTTGAATATTAGGGTCCACCCCTTGTAGAGACGTTAGACTGATGGAGACATAAAGTCTTTTATTTCACCATATTACAGTTGACCCTATTTCCATGTTCATTTTCCTATATTCTCATAGTCTGAACAGATGCAACATAAGTAATTTCTTTCATGTTTGACTTCAGCTTTAATGAGTCCAGACTTCATGGGAATAGGATGTCATTTTAACACATTAGCCTTGATGTGGTCTCTCTGATTTCCTTTAATAGGTTGCCATGGACTTCATTACCTAAGACCGCTTAAAGTCGTTTTCTTTGAATAGCTGGGCGAACCTGTGACACCTCAGTGTTTATTTTACATATATTAGTCTTCAGGCCTGACCTGCTGTAGTCTTTAATTTGACATCACAGGCTTCAGGCAGCGAAACCTCAAACCTACATTCTGTAGATTCCCCAGGTCCAGTCCTAGCCTGTAGCTGCTGTTAGAGAGGGAAACTACAAGGCAGCAGACTGTAGTTAGAGAGAATGTTTTTCACAAAAATGTCCAAACTGCAGGTGTTATTTTGGGATTTTTCACTCTCAAACACAAACACAAGGACACACATGTTCATGGCAAAGTCACATAGAGGATTAGTTTGAGATTTTGGGAAATACACTTGATCGCCCTTTTGCAGAGAGTTGGATGAGAAGATCGAGGACACTCGCGTCTCTCCATTAAAGGGAACATTTTAAAAGACTATGGCTCGAATAAATCCGGCTCAATATTTGAGCCAGCCAAAGCACTATAAAATGTATCCTTGCCCATAACACCCTCAATCCATTCATATTTTGGGATTTTCACAGTTTGCAATACAAGCCAAGAGAATAAGTTAGTTCTGTTTATGAGCGGTAAAGAGCACGACTCCAAGCTGAACTAGCCTGTAGATCTTCCTCGTATCCATGAACGTCACTGTTACGCCAAATGACTGGAAGCACGGGAAAAAAAGATTTTGCAGCTGCGAACTCGGCTTGCTGTGTCAATATAGCACGCACAGAGGGATTTAAAGCTTCAATCAATTACATTTACCTTCAACAGTGAGCCAGCAGCCCACTAGCTTAGCTTAGCATGAAGACTGGAGACAGCTGGCCTGGCTCCCTCCTCCAGTAACAGAATCGGCCTACTGGCACCTCCAAAGCTGACAAATTAACACAATATATCTGGTTTGTTTAATACGTACAAAACCTGAAATGTATCAACAACATGTGATTTTGTGGAGGGTTATGTGTGTGATTACTTATTGGTAAATCTCAAACTATTCCTTTTACACAACCAACATAACAAAACGCATCTTATCTTCCAAACAAAGGCACAGGCAGCTATTATCACTGGCATACAATTGCCTCTTTAGTGTCTCAGTATCTCACATTAATTGTACCTCTCAATAAAATGAAGTGTCTTTGAGCAGATACTCCAACACTTCCCTGAATGTCTGAACTGAGGTGTTTTATCAGCAGCTCATGAAAATGATCTGTTGTGAACAAGTGGTTCACACTTGTGCATCTGTGAACCAGCCGGGTTTCCCTCCGTGTTTAAGTGTCGGCACTGTGATCCCAGATGTTAACTCCTGGTTTGTGTCACACCCATTCGCAGGGGATTATTGACAGACATTCTGGGAAACTTAAGAAATCTGTAACTAAAGCAGCAGTAGGACTGACATCAAAAAATATATGAGTACATAAAAAAACTAGAAGCTAGAGGGTTTCAGTTTTAACCAAAAAGAAGTCCCATTACATGTTGGGAATTGTGAACCTGTGGTTGTTTAAACAAAACCTAATGATTATCTATGGCAGAAAATTGATGCAACACATAAGTAGCTGTTGCATGGTCCTCCCAATGGCAGGGAAGAGGTCTCTGAACCCCCTGATTACCCGCAGAAGCGGCACCTCTAGCTAAAGCTTTTAGCTGCCAAATTACAGGTAGTTTGCGTGTGCCAGATTTTCCATCCTGCCTCGTAGCCTGTAATCATTGTTAGATTTCCGCGCTCCACAGAGAAAAACAACTGTGGCTGTTGGGTCCAACATACAGTACAGTGCAGCGCTGGTCATCAGCCAGCGTTAAACAACTGAATGTTCAAGCAGAAGAAATAACCCCACAGAGTTCTTATAATGTTGTTGATGGACTCTGGTTTCAGATGTTCAAATTATTAACTAATGTTTTGGCTGTTAGAAACAGGCAGGTGCCTCAAGCGCCAAGCTGCTGAGGGCACGTAGGGAACATTAACGTGTTACAGGCGCACTGCACAAGGCTGTATGTTTCCAGGGCTCTCCAATCAAAGTAAAATAAGAGCTTACACAAGCACACCGAGACGTCTACTTTGACCACAAATGGCCCGCTGCTGTGTTTTTCAGTAAGCACTCTACGTTTACAGCTGTGTTGGCAGTGGCAATCCAGATATGGAGGTGTAATGAATATTCTGCTGACATAGTTTAACTAGTGTATTGCCACTTGTGATAGCCAAATATGCTTTTCCCTTACTTTTAAAAACTTTTGAGAGGACATTGCAGAGAGACTACAGACTGCAGTTAAATTAAAAGCAATAAAAACCAGCAGGATACACCATGTACAAGTCAAACAGCCCCTATAATGTTGAACTGATACCATATGAGGAGAAACTCACTAAAAAGCTACAGCAGAAAGTGTGTTAGTCCATGATTTAGTATATATGTTAAAGATGCAAAGTTACTTAACCTAAGATATAAGGGAAATTATAGGAATGTTATGCTGTGTTTTAAATTATAGTGAACGTGATGCTCCTAAAATGACACGTTTTATTCTGGGTTGATTAGTGATTAGCGAGCTACAGAGTTGTGAGAGAACGGATACATCGGACTTAACTTCCACAAGCATCAGCCCTCACAGACACTTACCGATCCAAATTAATCTTCAAATGACAAAGTTTGATGTTGTAGATCAGAAATCTTTGATGCGCAGTTCTTGCATTCAGCAGTTCGCCTTTAACCTCCACATGTGAAACTCTTTAACTTCCAAGTCGTTTCAAGTCACCGAAACAGTGACTCGAGTCGACTTGAGTCCAGATCTCTGTTTAAATCTGATAAAGGTCAAAAAATATCTTGCATGGCTAACGACCCGTGCAGATCAGTGTTTTTTTTTATTGGCTACACCATTTCTTCATTGACACCAACGATCAAGGTTTGTGATTCGGATGATGTGTAACGGTAACTTAGGTTACTGGATTTCATATTTTATTAGCAGAGTTGAGACTACTCTTGTACTTTCTCTGTTGTGCATTGAGTTTCAATCGGTCTGCCACCCCATGCCAGCACTCAAGTAATTAACCTCCAATTTTTGATGATATGTTGTGTAGTGTTTTAAAAAAAAAAAATTTAAACCAGTTCCTTTGTGTTGCAGAGCTGGACTGGCCCAGAGAAGCTGCTGGCGCTGGATGAGTTGATTGACAGCTGTGAGCCCACACAAGTCAAGCATATGATGCAGGTGATCGAGCCGCAGTTTCAGCGAGACTTCATCTCCCTGCTGCCCAAAGAGGTGAGTTCCCGAATCCCCTGGTTATCAGTTCACAGCTTCATCTTAGCTCCCCGTCCTTCCGTCTGACCTGAGCTCCCGTGGGAATCCCTTCAGTTCGACATTGTTTTGAATGTACAACACGTGACGGAGACGACGCTTCCTCTCCAGCCCTAATCCTGTCGCAATCTTCCTTCAGATAATTTAAAGACATCCATAGTGGGGTGTCTTGTTTTTTCCTCTGCATCATAACTGACAATACAAACACTCTGAAGTGCCACACTGACGATAAGATCACATAAGGGATTCTCACAAAACCGCCTCGCTCCACCGTATCTGGTGTAGCTGATCAAATACTTAACATCTCGACTCTCGCTGGCAGGTGTTGGGATGAAAGCTGGGGGCTGATGGCATAGAGAGTGAGGCAATACGATGCAAGAACTCGATCATCACTTGCTCTGAAGCCAAAAATACACAACAGCATCATGTGTGTTCTCACCAGGACATGGGTCCTCTCTTTTCAATCTTTTCATTTTCTTTTCTGTCTCTCCTTTTTTTAAATATATATATCGTCAATTCCCTCTGACTTCTTTTGATGATCCTGTTTGTCCTCTCCGCTGGAAATACATTGAGGGGGGGCTGTCAGGTCATTTTAACAGGACAATCCCTGTGGCAGCACTACAGATGCAGTTGAAATTGAAACCATAAAGAGAACCTTTAGAAGGCAGTGTGTCAGGCTTAAAAAGCAATCACTGGAGGCTCGAGGTCCATTCATAAAACTTTTGAAATATCCTGAATCCCAGTAATGACAACTGGCTTAGACTTAGGCTCTCAGGTGATTTAGGAATGCCAAGGTTTGTGGGTCTTATCTGGGGCAAATGATTTAAAAATGTCCCTAAAACTACACTTTAATACCGGAAAGCCTTCCGCAGGTACAGAAAACAACATAAGAACCTTATGATTGCCCTTCATGATGATTCTCAATCCTCTTTAATGTTGTCAAAGAAGTTTTGAACTGCGTGATGTTGGATATTTAAAAAGGAAACTTCTCCAAATCTTTCACAAAGGATTAATCAAGGAAATAGTGGGCGGATTAATCTATGATGAAAAATAATTGTTCGTTCAATCTAGACTAGAACGAAGGGCAACATTAGTCTGAAATGCTGGTTCTCCTGATGTTCATGCAGGATGCACTCCTGAATTCATCACACGGTGTGTCGAGGGTCATTACCATCTCTGATTATTGTAATATCATAAAAGAACAATATTTACACAACCGGTTACAAAATTAACCCGTAATCTTTACCCTTTTGTGATGATGAGAGCGTCTCTCGTCCTGATGGTTGATCCACCGCATTCATAAAACAAACATCGTGTGTTGAGACCTTTGTCCAAATATATACCCGTTACAATATGTTTGAAAAAAAAAAAAAAAAAACATAGCAGGTTGTGTTTTTTTAATCTTTTGCTCAGGGGTCCAGATTTATACTCATTAAACCAGGTTTTGTGCCTTTTTATGTCAGCTTTGGCTTAACGAACTGTAGCCCCGACATTATTACCGGCTGTGTAGCTCCTATTGTGTATTTTTCGTTAAGCTTTAATAGAAATGTTGATTCAGTTTTATGGTAATGCCATTGTTTACCCTCGTTCAGTTAGATTCATGCTGTTACTATTTTGCACACAGTTTGTTCCTTTTTGTTGTTGTGATTTAGTTACTTTAAACTTCAAGGTGTATGAGGTGTTTGTACTGCTCTACACACCCGCAGCAGTGAATAATGTGTCCTTTTTGTGTCTCCTTTTCCATTTACACCTCTCGTATTCCTCATCTTTCAACAGCTGGCTTTGTATGTGCTGTCATTCCTGGAGCCGAAGGACCTCCTTCAAGCAGCCCAGACGTGTCGCTACTGGCGCATCCTTGCGGAGGACAACCTGCTGTGGCGGGAGAAATGCAGGGAAGAAGGTGAGTCTTAAGTCTTTGCAACAGACAGACGGACAGAAAACATGCAGTCACACAGCGGGAGCAGTCTGGAGCTACAGCTGTGGGCAATGCTGTGCTTCAAGCTGCGGCTGTACCTGTTTTTAGAATAAACATTTAGAGGAAAAAACGTGAGCCTTAATCCGATCTGCTTCCATCTCTGTCTCCTCGCAGGCATCGATGAGCCTCTGTCCCTCAAGAAGAGGAAAATCGTCAAGCCCGGCTTCACTCACAGCCCCTGGAAGAGTGCCTACATCAGGCAGCACAGAATAGACACCAACTGGAGGAGAGGGGACCTCAAATCACCCAAGGTAGCTGTGCCTTCAAACTTCAATTCCCCAGCGGGCGGATGATCTCATAGACCTGATATGAAATGGCTTTGAGTCTCAGAAAGTTGATGGGAAGTTAGTGAGAGGTCAGGTCTCCACAGTATTCTTGTTGAATACTAATTAAGCTGCAGCACAGGATGATCTTACTGTCCTTTAATGTAAAGACTATTTGTCTTTTTGCCCGTTCAGAAGTTTCCCGTAAAGCACGAGCAGCATGCTACAGCTGATCCTTAATGGGCCTTGTATACTTTGGCTCATTTTGAAACAGCTGCGGGTCGTTTTAGTCCGCCGCCGATGCTCTTCATACTCCTTTGCATATGCAGTGTGCTGAGCTAGCAGTCCTGTGACCCAGTATCTCACACACACACACACACACACACACACACACACACACTGCTTAAAGAGCCGTGTACACCTGCAGCACTTGGTGACATTTTCCTCTTATCTCCCCTTTGGTGTACAAGGCACCAGAGACGCCTCATTGTCGGCCTCAGTTCTTGCCGTGTCATTCTGCATCCACCCCGCCGTCCCTGTCCTTCTCATTGCGTCTCTCTTGATCTGTCTCATCTGAAGGTGCTGAAAGGTCACGACGACCACGTGATCACCTGCCTCCAGTTTTGTGGCAACCGCATTGTCAGCGGCTCTGACGACAACACGCTCAAAGTCTGGTCGGCCATCACAGGAAAGGTATGGGTTAACTGCTTTTTCCATTTCCTGTTTTCCCCTTTTATCTTAATGGCTTCCTTTTCTTCTGCACTGTTGTGAGATGCTAATGGACTGTAGGCAAGTTCAAGATGAATTCACTTCATTGATCTTTTCCGACTTGTTTATTGGGAAGTGGATGAGACATCTAAATTATTGAAAACATGAAAACGTTGCTCCCTGTACCATCAATATAGTTAGTAATTAGTAACATTAGCCCCATCCGGTGAAAATAACCTCCATTCTGTCTCTGTCTATTCTCTTCTCTTACATTTTGCGGTTTTGCTGACTTGTTACGCAGCACTTGTCTGCAAGAGCTGTTAGTATGCATAGCTGAGGCTGGTGCAGCTACACAGGCCTTGGCTGCAGCTTTACGCTGCTGTGTATTAAAAAGAAAAGCAGTGGTTGTACGGTGGTGTAGGAGAGCGGTTCACAGATTGTTGTGAATCGCAGCTCTCTCATGCCTCGGTGTTGGACGCCATTTTTGATTTTGTCTAAAAAAAAAATCCTCCGTAAACTGTTGTTGCATATTCCTCTTTTCCACTCTATTCCTTTCACTTTTACTCGGCGAGTAATTGAGACTGTGAGCTGTGAACACATGCATTCACAGAAAAGTTGATATTCTGCATGATCACACTGCAGTAGGTCTCTCTTTGGGTTGTACACAATACACCACAGAGTTTGCTTTTCACTGCTTTAAAGACTCCAAACAAATAGTAAAGTTGGCTTTCAGCCTACTGGTGATTACACTCGTATCAGTCTCAGCATTTGCTGATCCGAACAGATCTCGCCAAGGTCATCCGATAGGCACGGAGCACGATTTGGCTCTCCTTCACCCAAAGACATCTGGATGACGGGTCGTTGAGTTACAGCTGCAGCGGATCCACGTTGGTGGTGGAAGTCTGCGATGAGTCACATCGCCAGCGTGCTCTCAGTGCTTTTTGTGAAACCTCCCTGCATTCAGACCGACGTCACAGCCAACACAAGTACACCGTCTGCGGTTTCGACAACGCTAATCCGTCTACGATTTGTTTGTTTACATTAGTCATGAAGAAGAGATGAGCCCAAATCCGTTTCTGTTTGGGTGATGTATTCAGAACACAAACCCCTCTGTGGGATTTCGTCTCTTTGCTTCCTTGGCTCTCGACACAAGCGAGAGAATCTCTCACCGCAGACGAATGGCCAATTAAGCCTCGTCAACCATTTCGGGTGAAGAGTCTGTCGAAGCCAGTAAAACGGTAAAGTAAAAACACAATGGGATTACATTAGCATTTGTTTTTGCTACTCTGTCAACATGCTTTTTAGTCTCTGCCATCGACTTGAGGACTTGATTGCTACGTTTTCTTGAGATGCCGGCCTGTAAAGTGGCTATCGGGGATCTCAAGGTGTTGAGTAACAAGACAGTTTGCGACGGCCCTTGGCTCCCAATCCGCCTGCCAATATCCATTCCTCTTGTCCTTCATAAAGCAAATAATATCTACTCCATAATCTTCCTTTTAAAAGTGATGTTTGCCCGTGATGAGCCTTTCACCTCTCACATGAACCCTCCAACTTCAGAGAAAGCTCAGCGTAACCTTCCACAGCTCAGCCGCTAACACCAGTACTTCGGTCTTACTCAGAATTGGATCAATGAGAGATAGCAGCACGATGATCAAGAACTCTGATGTTAGTTTTTAAAAGTTGTCCTTTTGAAATGAGATGTTTTCCGTCACCACAAAAAAGTAGTCTCTCCGATACGAGTTGATGAGCGACAGATCACAAGAGTAAATTGGCTCATTCTCTCCGAGATCAGCGGCTTCTGTGTGTCTTCTTCAGATGAGAGATTTGAACTGCAGCTCTGGCAGCTTTCACTGCAGGTAGAGGATTTAAATTGAGGGTACGGAGAAAGAAATTGGTCATAGAAATAGACAAAGATGTGCCAGAGGTAGAGCAGCGTTAACAATTCTTCTCTGCCACTTTTGCTGCTATTCGGCAGAAACCTTTTGTTCAATTTGGAACGATCAAAAAAGATTCCCCCTGTGATGGGACACTGTGGGGTGGATCAAGTTGTGCTACATCACTTTGACGGCATCCGAATGTTATGCGTCTCCACTCCCAGCATCCTCTTCACATATCTAAATAGTGCATACATTATGATGCTGGAAAGATGATGTTACTATCAGTTGTTTAATGAATCCGTCCAATATCCTGTTCTTCTGTTAAAGTGTCGCATCATATTGACAGGTTTTGTTTGCATGGACGTGGCTTCATTTTGATATATATTTCCATAAATACTCATCAGTGCAGGCTTGCCATTTCTCCAAGATGATGTTAATCGCTGTTTTGTCTTTGCTGCCAGTTTTGTCTTGCCCTGGATTTATCTTGTTATGTAAAACACCGTGAACTGAACTTTTGCTGTGAGGCAATCCCGGTTATTATTCGGGCTCTTTACATGTAAATGCCTCCACACCTCTGGAAGCACTGGGACGTTGCTCAGCGATCGGGTAAGACAGCGGGGATTTGATTGTGGTTGGAAGTATTGCATCAGAGATTTAACAAACACCAGAGTGGGAGATTAAATACGATTTAAGGTCTGTAGGAGTTTTGCTGCCTGAAGGCTTCCTGTCTTTACCTGATGGACCTTTGTCTCTGCGCGTCCTCCAGCGTCAGTGAAAGATGTCAATCTTCCGCTCACAAACAGCCGCACACATCTCAGCGCATCAAAGGTGGCGGCCTGGTGCTCAACAGAGCAGCGCATGTCCTTGGCAGTGCCTGTCAGCAGCAGTCTCAGCTGTCAGGCCGATCTAACATGGCAGACCCAGGGAGAGGTGTCCGCTGCCAGATTCCCAGTTTAACTTCTCCTCTTCCTTAACTGGCAGATATGAGAGATCACTTTTTGAGCTTTTATTGTTAAGATAAATTATGGTAATTATGGCCATCTAGCATTAATGCAACAGAGGCTTTGTATTGTGTCTCCATGATAAAGCCTTTTGGAGAAAAATCAGTGTATCTGTGCATACGAGACAAGACAACAGTGTGCCGGTATCATACCCATCCACAGCCCTCCTCATCCTCGCTCAGCTCTCATAATACCTTCAGTCTTCAGACCGTTTTTATTTATCTCCCTTATTCCACCAGCGTGCTTCTGTGAAACAAGCTGAGACCATGGTCAGTTGTATCTGTTCAGGGGGGAAAGCATGCATGGTGGATCAGTTGACTGAAGTGACTCAACAGAAAGTGACTTTACTCATTACTTCTATCTATCGGGATGCCACGAAAGTACATGTTACCAAGGGCCACTGACCAGAGAGAGCAAAGCAGAAAAAAATGAAATGTTGGGCTATTATAGTGGGTATTATTGGTTCAAGTGTTTGTTAGTTTAGCTGTTATTTTAGCTGGTATAGCTGGTTTAGCTGGCATTTCAACATTTACATAGCGTACATGGTCCCCATAGATGCTGCTGCTGTTAAAACTTTATGTAAATGTAGAAACAGTTTTAACAGATCTACTTTTGAATTGTTATTAGACTCCAGCATTCAGCCAAGCAGAACATTTTCCACGGCCACGGTAGAAGTCTGAGATCTTTCTTCTGCTTCCGTCTGTCTTTACTCACAAACTGTGAAGTCATTTAAAATGATGTGAAAACATGTGACTGGTCCTTAAAGCAGCAGCCTGGGTGATCTTTGAATCATGCAGTGTGAGTCTGTAATGTGATTTCTTGACCTGGGGTAGTTTATTTTAACCTTTTGCAAATCATTGGCTCCATCAGCTTTATCCCTCTTATCCCTTGTTTTCTGATATTTCCTGCTAAGGCAAAGAACGTTCTTTTTCAATACAAAGAGAAAGCTACAGTACGTAATCAGTCGTACATGGTCTAGAGCTCTGTGGCTGGCTGCTACACTGGACACTCTCCCACAGTTCTTTCTTTAAATGTATGAAAACATCATGCAACTGTTAAGCACAGTATAAAAACCCTTGATGTGTTTGTAAGAAAAGGTTCATTAAAAGAATGCACGTCTTCTTTCACTCTCAGGGACGGCCTCGTCTTATGTTTGTTTCATAGACTGATAGACGCTTAAGCCCTCCAGTTCAGGTACTCTGTTCCCACGCAGTGTGAGAGTAGATCACACACTAAATCACACACTGGGATTCTTGTTTTGGAACCTCGACCACTGGCTTCGATTCACGAGGAAGATCTTTCATCCTTGAGAGTATGATTACAATAAACTGCAGGCCTGTGGTTGGGTATTACAGAAGACAAGCAAATATTTATCACAAATGTGGATTAAGATGCATGCTGGCCAACGGTGCTGTACATAATCCTAATGTACCACAATATGCCCAAAGAAAATGCAGAACAAATTGTAGTTTAGCCAGATGTTAGACAGCTGTATTATTCATTTCACTACGGTATAAAGCTCAGAAAACGGACCGTGGTGATAAAACAAGAGACTTTTAACACTGTAGTGAGGTTGATTGTCAGGTCATGCCACATTGGCCCACAGTTAATGAATTGATTCTCTTTATCATGCAACAGAGAGGGCGAAGACGGGCTGCAGCATCTTCATCCTCTTTCGCTCGCTGCAATAAAACCTCTCGCCTCTCCTGCGCCCGCCATTCGCTGCTCAGCGGCTTATCAGCAGCATTCGGGGGGGGGGGGGGGTGTCACATGTTGAACACTTCGTAGACACGCTCCACTCTGAACTTGACACGACCACAGCGCTCGCCACCGACCTCGTCCACAGCTCGCTCCTTTCCCCAAATCATTTTCGTTTAAAGCATTTCGGGTAATTAAATCGAGGGGCAAATTAGAAACTGTGGAGACACAAATTCAATTGATCAGAAAGATTTCCATAACAGCTTTAATCAATAGCTAATCTACCATCCCTAATGAGGATGAATGGGTGTGTTTTTTAATTGAAGACAGTTTTAAAACCTTTTGTGAAAAAGAGAACGAATCGTCTGCTTTTCCAACAGATAAGTAAAAGCAATTAAAGGTGCTCAGAGAGAGATTTTGTCCCAGCCGCAGGTATTCTTCTCTCCCTGAAAAGGTCACATACATTTCATTTTCCTTGTCTTTTTTCCCCCCCCCTGAAGGCAGTAGGAGGTCACAGTGGGGAAATGCGCAAATGCGATGTACAGTATATGAATGAAACCAACCTGGATGTCTTTGAAACTGACTTTTCTCTGATCCGACATCTGCAGTAGCTGTGAGAAATATACTGATCGAGACCTCCTCTTCTTCTGCGATCTTTTCAGTGTCTGCGCACGTTGGTGGGCCACACAGGGGGCGTGTGGTCATCCCAGATGCGAGACAACATCATAATCAGCGGCTCCACTGATCGCACACTCAAGGTCTGGAACGCAGAGACAGGCGAATGTATCCACACCCTCTATGGGCATACCTCAACAGTGCGCTGCATGCACCTACATGAGAAAAGGTATGGGGCAGATTTCACTAATACTTATGGAGCTGAAAGAGTAAATGTATTAATTGATGAGTTGATCAACAGAATATTAATCTGTTTAAGGTTTTTATCTTTGGGCTTTGTTCTGTTGGTTATACAGAACTTACAGCTTCAGTCTGATTGCTATTATTCACTTTATGACAAGCATCTGTTAATTGAGAAGATAATGGTCAGAGAGAAATTAAAATAATTAATAGCAGCCCTAAATGAATCCATTAACATGTTAATTAGTGAGCTTTACAAATAATTGTGTTGCTTACCGGCACATACATCGATAGGTTTATTTGTAAAAATTCTTTCTATTCAAGAAATAGTAAAGTAGGGAAACGAGAGCGATATTGATTGGTCTGTATGTTGAATATCAAGTTGTTCCCAACAGATGTTAGCTTAGCTTAGCATAGAAACTGGAAGCCGGGGGAGACGGCTAGACTGGCTCTGTCCAAAGGTAATAAAATCCGCTGACCAGCACCACTAAAGCTCACCAAATAACATTTTATATCTTGTTTTGTTGAAAACAAATAAGCACATGGACTATCCCTTTGTGCTCCGTTATTATTAGAATCATAACGCCCGACCTCACAGCGATTCCACCAAGCAAAAAGAGCATCTCTGCAACATTGTAAGAGGACAGTATCGCTATGAAAGTGAGCATGTGGTCTCTGAGAGATTAAATAGACCCTGTGAGCCGTCCTAAGTGAACTGCTGCTCACTCATTCACTTAGTATTACACTCCGGAGACTCAAAGTGCTCTCTTCGCCTTAGGGCCCACCAAGGTTTTTGTGTATAGCATTTGATTACTCACTCGGTGGAAATGCTGCAGGCAGACGGTGAACAACATGCTGGTGATTTCCATCCATGTGGTGCCGTGAGGCCTTTTACAAACAGAGTATGTAATGTGTGTGTTTACTGCATGTTGTTTTGTTTTTTTAAAATAGAAATCATTTTATAATATGGAGGAATGTCTGTCTGTAGCGTCGTGAATCTGATGAATATTAAGGAACGCGATGTCGATCATTCACCAGATTTAAATTCCTATGCTTCTCTTTTTTAAATAATAATGAATGATATCTGCGGTACAAACTTTTCACTGTAATAATCTGGAAAAATGTCAAAGTTGAGTAAAGATTTCACCCTAAAGGGAGTTTCCATTTCTATAACCTGTAATATATGTATGTTTTTTTTTTTTTACCATTCCGGGGGTGAAGACACTGCTGGAGGGCGGCTGTTAGAGTTAAATGGTTGTTTTTGTGCTTTCATGTAGGAACATGAATGTGACTCTGTAGGTTACGCAAAGCAGTGAAAGAAAATGTTCATACCGGTCTCATTATCCTGTCAATGCAGCTGCCACAGTATGAGTCAGTGTTGTGTCGAGTATTGAATTCAATCTTACTGAATCTGTTACTCGTGTGGGAAAGTGAAGCTCAACATTAAGACTTCACAACAGTTTTCATTTAGTTGCTGCATCCAGACTCTTTACAGTCAACGGTCTCTTGAAGCGTCACGTTTTCCCACGTGTGTCTGACTCGTCGTGTCTCTCTGGTTTTCTCTCAGGGTGGTCAGTGGCTCTCGCGACGCCACGCTGCGCGTCTGGGACATTGAGACGGGTCAGTGTTTACACGTCCTCATGGGCCACGTGGCGGCCGTGCGATGCGTCCAGTATGACGGGCGGCGGGTAGTCAGCGGTGCCTACGACTTCATGGTGAAGGTGTGGGACCCCGAGACGGAGACCTGCCTCCACACGCTGCAGGGCCACACCAACAGAGTGTACTCGTTACAGGTGAGCAGCTTCAGACACGCATTCAGCAGTGTGGCAAAGAAAAAAAAAAGGGTGCTCTGTGTTGTGTTTCTCCATTTGTACATCAAATGCATACATATATTTCAGGCTGGACCTGCATAATCTAGGAAATACAGACAGCTATTCATAAATCCAGTTTGTACTTTAAGTCCTTTCTGAGGTCTTAAAAAGTAGCTGGTTAGTTTGAAATTATATCATTGGATTATAAGGGGTTGCACCATTAAAAGTTAATTGTATCTAGTTCAGACTGTAAAATATTGCACCACCAAAGCAATCGATTTTGTCAGTTGGTAACAGTTAGATGTGGCAGTCACAGAGTGAACATATTTCTTCTCTTTCTAAGGTTGTTTTGTCAATGTGGCACATAAACAAGTCCATGTAATGTGATTGCACTAATGTTTTTATCTGTCGTGCTCATTTTTATCTACTGTTTTTAAATGTTTAATGTAGCCTTTCCAAACGTGTGTGTGTGTGTGTGTGTGTGTGGTTGTTTTTTCATGCCTCTGTGTCCTCTAAGATGTCCTCTCACCCACTCTGTGTGATTACGGTGCACTTTCAGCTGGTGGCCATCAGCCTCAGAGAGGAGGCTGTTTACTGCGCTGATAGATTGGTTTTTGTAGCACGCTGCAGCGCTCCGCTTTTTAAAGTGTTGATGCTCCACTATTGGACGTGTGAATACAAGGGAAAGTTTCACACAGATCAATGAAATTCATTCATTTCAATGGGTTTAATCTTAAATTTGTTAATAGAAATAGAAAGTATGCTGCTCTTGCCTCGGCTGCAAGTCAAAGTAACGTTTTACTGTCATCTTGAAGTGGCAGCTTGATTTTCAGTCCGTTTTAAAATGAATTTCATCAACATTCAGTCTGCTTTCAGAACGGGAAAACAAGTGTGGAGGCTGAACTTTTGATCCCCCTCTGCCTTCTAGTTTGATGGAATCCACGTCGTGAGTGGCTCTTTGGACACGTCTATCAGGGTCTGGGACGTGGAGACGGGCAACTGCATCCACACGCTGACGGGGCATCAGTCCCTCACCAGCGGCATGGAGCTCAAAGACAACATCCTGGTCTCAGGCAACGCAGACTCCACCGTCAAGATCTGGGACATCAAGACGGGCCAGTGCCTGCAAACACTGCAAGGTGAGTCTGCCATCTAAGTTTGGCTTTAAGTGGGCGTGCACGCGCAGCCTGACTGGCTATGTCAACCAAACGCAGAGAAGCTCGGATTACAACACAAACGGAGAAAGGGTCACTTCATTCTGTGCTCAGGTAGACATTACTCCGCTATATCTTTACATAGCTTATGGTTTGCTGCTATATTAATGTCAATTTCAAATGTAGCACCTTTAAAATATCATCCAGTTAAAAATCAGTCCAAAAAAATCGCACATTCCCTTTTTAGTGTGTTGTAGGTCTTTATCTGGTACTAGTTGGTAGTATCTTCCTGCACCATGTTTCTTGAATGTTGCACTACAGTACACTACAACAACGTTTGGATTACAGTCGTCTTGCTTTACGTTATAGTGCAGACTGTGCACAAAATCATTCAGATGTACACTTAACTGTAAACGTGTAACTTAAACGGCGATAGCAGCCTTGAGCAAAGACAAAAAGCACACAAGATGGGACTTAGCTTGAAACTGACCGTCCAATTAGAATCCACACTATATAAATGTGTGTGTGGCAGTACAGAGCCAACACCTTGTGGACCTGCTGGTCCTGATTACGCTCTCATTTCCTTTGTGTCTGTTTGAATAGTTCAAACCCCATCAGCAGCAGCACTGGTGCCTCACAGGAAGTTGGAAATCCTTTGCTGAATAGCTGCAGCAACCACCAGCGCCCCCGCCCCTAAATACCCTCATTAGCAAACTACAACCCTGCATGCTAGTTCTACAAACACCAACACACACACCCCCGCTGAACAAAGGGATGCCCTAGTGAGAGTCTGAAGACAAAGGGGAGGGATACGACGGATAGGGGGGAGGATGTGTGTGTGTGTGTCTTGTAAAGAGGGGGTGACTACAGTGAAGGGATGAAGGCTGGGGGACTTTGTAGGTCATATAATTAGGTCAGCGGACAAGTTATGCCATTCATTAGCGTGTTTTGATAAGACAATGGGCCGACAACAAGGTCGCCACTGTCAGCTGAAGAGCGCATAGGTAATGATGGAGCAGGCTTTGTTGTGCTAATGCAGGGAGGGGAGGAGAGAGGCAGGCATGTTGGGGGTTGGTGCAGAGCACGATTGAATACTCGAGTAAATATCACAGCCTTTGAACTAACTGGAGACAGAAATGGAAAATATGTGAAAGCGTGTTGATGGTGAGATTTCAAAAGACATTTCTCCTCAAATGGATTGTGAAAACGGAAAGAAATTGAATTTGTCTGAATGAAATAGCTTCTATAGCAACCTCCAGTAAAATAAATAAATAATAAAAGCGGTTCATTTGCCAGCACTTGATTCTGCGCTTGTTTGTGCTTTGTGTCGCCCTAATTGATTTAATTAAGATATCGTTTTCAAGCCCTGAGGGAAATCTTAAGTCATTGCACGCGTAGAGTCACAAATAAAGTCACTTCAGGGAAGGCAGTAACAGCCGCCATCTTCACTTAAAGTGTGGCATCCTGCCAGCTACCAGCACACACAAACGCACAGCAGACGGAGGTGTAGCTGGAGCTGCTAAGCCTCCGTGACAGTGACAGCCCGAGTCCTAAAGCCTGCCTACAGTAGGAACTCTTGACTACACTGTCACAATAGCTTCGGCAATAAAAGAGCTGAATTTTCCCTTTGTGTCTCAGAGGTTTTGAGTTATTTATTCGGTATCCAAGTCTCATTTCAAATTCACCCATCTACGTCTCTATACCCACTACATTACTCTATTTATTACAAACGGCTGTTTTTGACTAAATTGTAGCAGGAACTACAGAGGCCCAGGCATGAAATAGTTTAGTGGAGGTGGAGACTGCGGTTCGTCTGGGAGGAATGCAGTTAAGTGTGTCTTCTAAGAATCTGTTTCTCTGTGTGTTCAGGTCCCCACAAGCACCAGAGCGCTGTGACATGCCTCCAGTTCAACAAGAACTTTGTCATCACCAGCTCGGACGATGGCACAGTTAAACTGTGGGACCTGAAGACGGGCGAGTTCATCCGAAACCTCGTGACTCTGGAGAGCGGCGGCAGCGGCGGTGTGGTGTGGCGCATCCGAGCCTCCAACACCAAGCTGGTGTGCGCGGTGGGCAGCCGCAACGGCACAGAGGAGACCAAGCTGCTGGTGCTGGACTTTGACGTGGACATGAAGTGAGAGGGGACGCGGTGGGGGAAGGACGAACAGAGCGAACCGCGGAGAGGAAGGAATGGAGAGATGGGGAGATGAGGCACCTAGAAACCGGAGGGCCAAAAGCCCAGAGCTCTGCACCCAAACTCGCAAAATCTACAACCACCACCACTGACAGTGGGCTGTCCTGTCCTCGACCATTAACTCCCCCGTCCCCCCTTTAGGGCAAATGTTACTGACAGAGCCACAGACCCTCACATGTGTTCAGCCCCCGCTTTCGACCCCCTACCACCAGTACGCGGTGGAGTCGGAGGGCATCGGGCTGGAAACGAGGCGGCGGGGCTCCACCGGTCCGTCCCTCGATCGGCTGGGAGGAGGAAGAGAGGAAGAACGACTGATGACGACTGAACTCTTTTGAAGTAACTCAACCATTTCGGTTCGGGGGTCCGCTTTGCACAGAGACTTGGTTTCGCTCAAGCCTGACAGATTTTGAGATGTACAGAGATATATTGTTTTTTAAAAGGACCCCCCCCCCCCCCCCCACCCCCACACACACAACCCTCCCCCTCCGCGCACACACACACACACAACCCTCCCCCTCCCATCAGCGCACACACACACACACACACACACACACACACACACACACACACTCAAACGGCCAACCGGAAAACATTCACTGTAGGAAGAGATTGAGGAAGGTGGGAGACATTTAAAAGGGTAAATTTCCACACCCACCGTTGCAGCTGCTTGCTGTAAAGGAGAGCAGGTTGGAGGCTTCAGCCTGTAATCAGGCTCGTTTCTTGTCACTCCGTTTCTGTTCTCATTGTTCTACACTCGGTTTTCTTTACAATAACGCACACAAACACAACTGTGAATTTCAACACGTTCTTGGTTTATCATATGAAAGGGGTTTCACTCACCTTTGTTTTTTTTTTTCTTCTTTCTTTGCGGTTGCCAAAAGCAACAAATCCCAGTATTAATAACCTGCTCTGTTTAGGTTTGCTGTCATTATGTCACAAGGTTTTGTTTTTTTTGAGTTGTTTGTTCTTCCTTTACTTTTTTCTACATACCTGAGTTTGGAGCTCCGTCTCCATGTAAAACATCCGTGCTGTCCAGAGGTTTTCAGTCTAGCTGGGGCGGTTTTCTCAGTGCCAGTGCTGTGACGAGAAGAAGTAAAGGTTCTTCCCTCTAAGCGCTGTGGATCAATGCCCCCGAACCCCCCCGAATCCCCCCCAGCCCCTTCCCCTCTACTGTTTTCTCCCAGTGGCCAAACTGTATTTATGCTGCTAGATGAACGGAAAAGAAGAGAGAGATGGAACTTTTACTTGCTGTGACGTTTTAGTCCCAGGCAAAATTCCAAATTGAACTCTATATGTTTGGACTTTAAGAAACAAAAGATCACAAAAGTTAACATCCAACTTTTTAGTTTTATTTTGTTTGTTTTTGCCACTGAAACTTGAGCCAAACGTGCCTCTACGAGGCTGAGAGGAGGGAGCGCGTCCGACAGATACTGACGAGATCGCCTGCTGAGAGGAAACGAGGGGATGTACACTGTTAGTGTGTGTGCATGAGTGCGTGTGTTAACGGGCAACTTGTAAACACATTCCTTGGGACAACGCTCTTTCAGCCTGTTCTTTGGGGAAATGTACAAATGCTGTGTGGACTGTGGCAAAGGAAAAAAAAAACAAAAAAAAAAAAACTAGCAGATGTATCGATTTTAACACGTGAATGAAAGAACTGTCCGTATCCGTGTGTGATTGTTGTTCAATTCAAAGATGTCTGAAGCAACAGAGGAGACCACAAGCATCAACTGACGGGTCGAGCTGCCAGGAGTCTTAGTGTTACATGTGTTGCAGTTCAAACCTCCGGGCCGGGCTGCTCTGCGGCGGTCGCAGCCTCGAGGATTGTCAGTGGGGGGGAAATAAAAACACAAGGCAACAAAACGTGAACAGAAACATTGTAGCCAAACGAAAAATCGTCTCAATCTCCAAGAGTCACAACTCAAGCTGAACTGTGAAAGTGGTATAACACTGTATATTAAAAAAGAAAAAAAAAAGAAAACAATCTTGCTCTATCTCCTCTCGTTGTTTTCTCCCTCTGTTTTAATTTATGGTCTGGTTTGAGAAATCAGATTTGTTGCAGGTGTTTTATTTTTTCAGTTAATGTAAACTGCCTGGCAAAAAAAGAAAACAGACAGAAAAAACCTTAAAGGGATTGTGTATTTGTTTGATTCACTTAGAATTTTATTTTCTTATAACTTAAGTGCAATAAAATGTGGGTTTTTCTTTTTTCATTTCAAGCATATCGGTTGTCTTTTTGTTACCTGTGTGAAGGCATCTTATGTTCAATAAAGCAAATTATTTGGTTAAGTACATCCACGAGGGAATACTTCCAACGTTTATTAGAGTGCAGATTTTGTAGACCAAATTGATCTCTGCCAATGATGTGTGATGACCCTCAAATTCAGCAGAACCTGGTAATGTTCTCTTAATTCATCTCGTTCGACTGAGAAAAGAATTGGCCTACTTTATAGATCACACGTTTCGTTTTTTCTGCCAGTTTTCAGTCCCGTTTGTCAACTCAAGTTTATTCAAATTGCACAATTTGTTGCATAAAGTCTTAACGTTCATTAATAGCAACAGTTCCCAACCTTGACCAAGCTCTCTCTCAAAGTCAGGATATTAACTGGCGGAAACTAATTCCCTGCACCAAATATCAAACATATGACACCAGCACTACGGTTTAGGATATACTTACAGTAGACCTTGTTGTTGTGCTTTTTTTAAACCGCCATTTAACTTTGAGGACAGCGGAATGAAGGTAACCAGAAGAGTCAGACCAGATATGAGAGTCATCTTTTTTAATCCCCAGAGATTAATCTTCCCCCTGAAAACATGTTTGTCCTTAATTGAATCCTTGTTTTCCAACCTGTTGAGATAATATATGCGATTCTATCGTCACTGAAGCCAGAACAGAAGAAGAACATGTTGCTTCCGTGCTGCTGTATCTAAAGCACCATGAAGATGACCAAATTGAATGTGACCCTCTGTGTTTTGGGCCAGTGTCCATGATATCCAGCCCGGTCTCCGTCACGAGCCCAACACAGCTCACTGTAGCAGCAGTAACTCTGTGCTGCGGATTCCCTTCCTGCCTGTTGCCTAGTGATAGCTCGTCTCTGGCCAGGGGCCTCAGCACTCAGTGTGGCCTCGCGGTACAAACGGTATTGTGAGGAAGCAGCGATGGCTGTACATCATGAATGGACGCGTGGGGGAGTTTCCACTTTGGTTGGCAGGGTTACTTCTGAGCACCTGTTTGTTCCCAGGCTCGGCTCATGTGTTGTGTGAGCAGCAGCAGCAGCAGCTCCGCTCCACTGACTGGTCATGGAGAAGAGTAATTAGTTTATACAGTATTTGTTGATGCATTTCGGGTTTCAGACACCGACACAAAATGCTACAACAAATCCATGATTTTAAAAAGAGCTAAAGCGAATTGCCAGAGTTTAAATCTGCAACAATTTTGATAGAAGATGAATCATTCTCATCACACTCATTTCTGACACTCTTTACTGTGTACTATACTTTGACTGTTTATCGTTTCTATCATACTATACTATGATTGTTCATTTTTTACATTTTTATTTATGACTTTTAAGACTTACTGTGACTTTTTTGACATAGTATACTGTGGCCTTTTTGTGACTTCATAATGACAAACTATACCACGACTTTTTATGACAAAGTTAGTAAGTCATAGTGTAGTACATAAAAAATTATGAAAAATAAGTATGCTATGACTTTAGAGGCGCAGTATGTCAAAAAATCATCATAAAAATGTAAATGTATGTCATAAAAAGCTATGGTATATTGAAAGAAAATCCTAAAAAGACAAAGTGTAGTATATCTTAAAAATGCCATAGTATGTTCAAAGAGTTTAAAAAAAACAGTATAGTATAGTAAGTCAAAAAAACCATAGTATTTCAAAGAGTCATGGAAAAAAAAAAAAAACGTATATAATGTCAATATAAGTCACTAAAACGCCAAAATATGTCCCAAAAAGACATTTCTTCAGGTGGAGAGCCTCCCCTCTGCAGCTTCTCACCATCGAGGGGACTGAGGTGGAGACGGCCGACAGTTGCACGTTTCTGGGCTTGTAGCAACAGTGAAGAAAGCACAGCGGTGGCTTTATTTCATCAGGCTGCTGGAGAAGGCCGGACTCACCCAAGCCTACAGAGGACTCAGTGAGAGCATTCTCACCAGTGGGATCATCGTGTGGTTTGGAAACAACCCAGGCTGATAGAAAATCTCTTCAACGAGTCATTAAAGCTGCAGAGAGAATCCTCGGCCCCGACCTCCCCTTCATGGACAATTGTGACACGCTGCAGTAAGCACAGAGCCTCCTCGGAGGCGTATGTCCAAAAATATTATGGAAAATGTAATAATATAGTATGTTGAAAAAAAGTCTGAGTATAAATTGTTGAAATATTTCATCAATAATTGATAGTATAATATGTCAAAAAGTATAATAAAAAACATAGTATAGTATGTCGAGTAATGGCACAAAAAAAAAATCATAGTTTAGTATGCCATGAAAAAGACAAAAAAGTCCAAGTATATTATGTCATAAAATGCCACAGTATATATAGTATGTTGACAATTGCTATGGAAAATACTCATAGTATGGTATGTCTAAAACTTTCATAGTATATAGTAGTGTTGAAATATGTGAAAATAATGAGAAAAAAGTTATAGTATAGTATGTTGAAAAAAGTTATAGTATAGTTAGTTGGCTAATGTCAAATACAGTCTTAGTCTAGTACATAGTACAGTATGTCGACGAATGTTTTTTAAAAAGGCATAGTATTGTATGTAAAAAATTCAAAAAAAGTCATGTCATCTCAAAAAAGTTACAAAAAATGAATAGTATAGTAAGTCAACTAATGTCACAAAAAAAAGTATAGTTTGTCGAAAAAAATTAAAAAAGTTGTAGAATATTATAGAATAGTACATTGAAAAAAGTCTTAGTATATTATGTCGTAAAAAGTTTGAAAAAATGGTAGCATATTATATTAAAAAAGGAAATGAAAAAAGTCATTGTATAATATGTCAATAATGATCATGAAAAAAATCCATGTAGTGTATTTTGAAAAATGTCATGAAAAAAATAAATCATAGTGTAGAATGTCGACGAATGTAATGAAAATGGTAACTGCGGCGCATGTACATGCTGCAGCAGGTCGCTCCCACGAATGTTGTTACATTTCCCTCTTAATTTGTTGTCTTTTCTTGTATTAATTGAGCACTTATGGCATAAGACTCATCACCTCCGGAGAATGAAGCGAAGGGATTGGATTCATTCGAGGGGAACAGACCTTGAGACGATCACCGCCCATGGCCGACCACCCAGCCAGACAAGTCACACCAAACTGGGTCTGGGTAAAGAAACAAAGTTACGCAATTAAAATGTTTCCATGCAAACTGTAGTAGAGTAGCTTACAAACTAAATACTTAAGTA